GTGTCACAGCAGTAGTTCAGAGGGGTTGTTTCCAATTTGCCTTCGGGTACAGGCAACACCTTCCAGCAAAGAGAAGGTGACCGAATATCACMGTTTAAATTCATTTAAAGTGGGGGAAATGACTGCTTTGATACCCCGGTGCTGCTCTCATTGCGTGCCAGGCTCTGTAGAGCCAGGGTTTGCTGGCACTCCTCAATGAGAGAGTTGTTAATTTTGAAAGTTTTTTAATTCAGGCCTTTTAAAGTGTCAGCAGTGTCTAAGCCAGGCTTTCATTCCTGCATTTCTCGATGCTGCCACATTTACCCCTCGGAGAGCAGCACCACCTAAACCTGGAACACGGGCTGATCACAGTCTGTGCTGCCACTGTCACCACCCTTGGCTTGGTGCTCCTCTCCTGGGGCTCTGTCCTGGCTGTCAGAGAAAGGAGCTGCTAAAAGGAGAGTGGGAGTGCAGTGACACCGAGAAAAAACCGCTCAGATTGGGTAAAAAAAAAAAAATCAAGATTTTAGAAAAACGAGCTTGTAAGTTGTGTAAAATCCCTCGGGATTTTGCTCTCAGAGATGGTGGCTGCCCCTCCACCGTCCTGCTCATCACCAGAGGGCTCTGCTGCTGCTCCACTTGCCCTGCAAAGCCCCTGGCAGAGGCGGCTGTGTCTGGTATTGATTATTTTTAACATCGAACTTGATAAAAAAATGGGGGAAACAACATTTTGATGGCATATGGTGCTGCTGGGAGAGGTTGTTATAACCTGCACCTTTGCACAGACATTGCACTGCCTGAGCTCTGGCTGCTGCAGGCACAGCACAAACACACCAGGCTCAAATCTGAGCCCTGCTTAGTGCAAGGCTTTATGGCAGAGTGAATTTCTGTGCTCTGCAAAAATCTACTGCAGGGAAGAAAGGGATTCCTCCAAAGCCCTTCCCTTTCCCTCTCCTCTGTTTTCCTGAGCTCTGGCAAAAGCCACCCACTGAGGTTGGATTTGATGATCCTAAAGGTCTTTCCCAACCTCGAAGATTCTGTGATTGCTGTGTAATAAAGCTGTTTCAAACCCTTCAGAGTGGTTGGCTCTGCTGTTTTCTGCTGTCCTGGCTTTTTTTGCCCTTTGTGTTTCATTTCCAGCCCCACATGCTTAGAGCAGTTTCACTCAGGGATTTCACTCTCCTTACAGACCATCTTTCCCAGAGACAAGGGGAGTTCTCCCTCTCCCTGAACTGATTAAATCCCTTCCTTCAGCACAGCACTGCTCCTCTCAGCTTTTTAGGCTGGARGAGTTTCTCTAAAYTTGGATGGATCRGCTGGGCAARCACAGAGGGTGGGCAGGAAAAGCACAGGGATCTTGGATTTTGATGGCAACGAGCCAATGGGGGCCTTTAGCCCCATCTGCACAGGATTTGGGGTCACTGCAGGCATTTCTCCTCAATTATTTAATAACATTTGCATGAAGAACGTTCCATGAGGGTCCCTGGGCATCAGGCTGCAGAGGGGGATGGAATTGGTGGGAAACCCAAAGCCAGGGGGAGTTTGAGGACTTTTGTAAATCTCTGCTGACACAAATTGCTGCAAGTTTAATGCTTGAAAAGCAACTTATGCTCAGATCTGAGTGTCAGGCTCCAAGCACTTCTCATTTCCTGATTTTTAATTATAAAAAAAGCTTCAAACCTTCGCAGGGTTTCACTGATCTCCAGCAGCAGCCTGAGAAGCTGGGTGAAGGTTTTTGGGGTGGATTTTCAGCTGTCCTGGTGCTGCCAGAGCAGGGGGGACTGGAGGAGCTGCAGATTCGTGTTTTCCAGGAGGAGAAGGAAGCTCCAAGGGCGGGAGTTTTGCTTTGGTGCTTTATAAAGAGAATAAAAGGAGGATAAAGGGAGCAAGTCCAGGCTTGGTGAGGGTTCATGTGAGCAGCAGGGGTGGTGCTCTTTATCCACTGATTTCCTTTCTTTACCATCAAACCTGAGCTGCTCAAGATCTCAATCTTTCTCTCTCGTGGAGTGTTCCCCAGTGCTGGGGCAGGCGATTCCCAGGGAGGGGGAGATGGTGATGCAGCCAAAGAAACTCAGGAATGAGCCATCCCCCAAAAAAAGAGGGAGGGGGCTCTTCAATCCCTGCTCTCAGCAGTGCTGGGAGGATGTGGCACAAGTCTGGCAGATCACAGAGGAGATTCCCCGTGCTGATTCTGCTGTGATGCCCTTTTTTATTGCTGAGATGCGGGATTGTGGGGCTGAAACCGCGGTGACACCTCGGGGAAGGGCAGAGAGAGGCTCTAAAAGGCTCCTGGGAGCTTCATCCCCATCTCTGAGAGAGGAGGTGATGCTGTCACAGCTCCCCAGCCTGGGGGGTGGCACAGAGATGCTGCTGCCTGAATTTAGCACTTTGGGGCTGTGCCAGGCACGGCCTCCGTGGAAGATCTGCAGCCCAAACATTGCACACCGTGGGTGCTGCCAGTCCCACACACAAAGTCAGGCCACAGGAATCACAAGGCAGGGAAAGATGTGGATGTGGGCTGTTCTGATCCGTGAAGGGAAGCGGATCTCTCACCCTGTGGAGCTTCTTGCCCTCCAGATTGGTTTCCTCCACCTTAATTTACCACCAAGAAGAAAGGAGCAGTTTTCTGTTCATCAATTTCCCATGATCAGTTTGAAATTAATGCTTTAAAGTTATTAAACTCCTAAAGATCAATTATTTCTTGCAGTGGGGTCTTTTTCCACAGCTCTGGAGCAGCTGCAGTGAGGATCATCATCCTCCCCCTGCCAAACCTGGCCACTTTAAACATCACTTGGCTCTTGCTATTGGAGAAATGCTGGGAATTCTMAAATGGGGAAAGTAACTTGTGTTTAGAGTGTTTGGCTGCAGTGAAGGGCAATTTGGAGAGCACATCCCTGAGAAATGGGGTGATCTCGTGGCTGATCCTCTTCCCTGGGTGCTCCCACCCCTCAGGTTTGCAATTTGGGGATTTAAATCAYCCGTGACACCAAGCAGGGTTTTGTTTTACAGTGAGAGCTCTCTAAAGCAAACAGGACAGCTAGGAGTGCTTTAAAAAGATTCAAACCCACGGAATATATTGATTTTTGAGACATGACTAATTCTTCACTCTCTTTGGAGGAGCCGGGGTTGCATGGCCAGGCACCACAACGCTGCCAGGGAGGGAATTTGTGTGTCTTACACCTCTCTCAGAGCTGGGCTGTTCCTGCCCTGCCCTGCTCGCTCCTGGCAATGACCCAACCTTGATTCTGAAAGGCAGAATGTGCAGCTCAGTGGCCACACCTCGGAGTGGGGTGAGGCACGATGGGGTGACTCAGATGATGTGGGGCATCGCTGGCTCTGAGAGCAAAGGGCTGCAGCACCCACCCAGCCACTGCTGAATCATGGAATCACAGAATGGTTTGGGTTGGAAAGAACATTAAAGATCATTTCATTCCATTCCTGCCATGGGCAGGGACACCTTCCAGCAGACCAGGCTGCTCCAAGCCCCATCCAGCCTCACTCATTGTCCTTGCTGCAGCTTGGTTTATTTAAATTAAGGAATTAATTACCTCTGGTTTTGATTTGTGCATTCACCAACTTTTGGTCAAATATTTTTCTTTAACATCACATGTCTGTTGCATAACTGGAAACACGAATCTTATGGCATTGGAGCTGGGAAAGAAACCAGGCAAACCTTTCTGGTTAATGTTTGAAGCCTTTGAGTGAAATCCTGAAAATAGCAATACAGGTTTTCCACGAAAATCTCTTTTACAAAGACATCTTGGGGGAGTTTTAGGGAGGAAGGGAGAAACCTGTGCACTAAGGAGTTCACAGAGCCTTGTCTGTGTTACAGGCTCGGGAAGCTCCAGCTCCTCGTGCCATGGATCAGGGATCCTTCAGCATTACTGTCTTGAATCCTCTCCAGGTGCCTTTGCCCTAAAACACCTCCAAAGACATTGCAGAGTCTGTTTACCGTGGGTTGGGTTGGGTGCTGTGAGAGGCAAATGAAGCAGCAGCCCCTAATTAAATGTATCTTATGTATTAATATGCTTAATATAGATTACTTAATACATATTAGCTATAATTTATATATATTTCCCTGAAATACTTAATTCCCAGCCACTCCTGCGGGCATTCCTGGCATTTTTATACACCTGGGTTTGGTCTGAATCCCTGTGACAAGAATTACGTGGAGCTGAAGGATTTTAAAATCCAGGCTGGGGCCCTGATCGAGAGGAGGCTGCCCTCATTGAAGGCAAATCTTTTAGAAAAGCAGAACAGAACCAGAGGAATTTATATTAAAATTGATCAAAGCCAAAGACAACAGATTTTTGCACTTTTTTTTTTTTTATATCAGCTGCAGAATCAGCTGAGCCCTTTAGCTGAGCTGCTGCCTGAAAGAAGCAGTGTCTTCATCTGTAATGACACCAATTAAAGGCTGCAACCCTTAATAACCTTTGGTCAGCCCTGAACTGGCCAGGGAGGTGGATTAGAYGGTCATTGTGGGTGTCTTCCCACTGAAATCCTCTGTTCTGTTTGATTCTAATCTAGTCCAGGCTATTCCATTCAATTCTAATYCCCTTCCCTTCCTTTTTTCCTCTCTCTCCTTGCAGCAGCACGGGATAGCAAATCAGGATTTTAGCACAAACCCACCTTGTTCTTTTCCATTGCTTTAAGAGCTGTGGAGCCCATTGAGAAAACCAGAAATTATTCACTCTTAACCTCAAATAAAACCTTGTTGAAATTCCAGCTGTCTTTAACATCTTCCCAGAGCCCGTTCTCTGCTGGCCCTCTGCGTCGGCTAAAAGCAAAGATTTTGGGGAGCTTTTTTTTTCGGGGGGAAGGAGAACATGCTCAGAATTTAAAGCAAATTTGTGTTTYACYGKGGTTCARYAAAKCTGGGGGGATGGAGYCCTGAGAMAMACAGGCAAAMYTCWGGCRAGAAAAACATCTGGCAGTGACTCCAGGCGGGCACGGCGGGGAAACGGGAACGGACCCGCGTGGGGCGCAAACCCCGAGAAAACCAAATTATCCTCTGCTAACATCCCCCGCTGGTGATGTCAGCGCTGACAAAGGGGAATAAACCGCAGTCCCTGGGCTGTCACGGGTGTCCCCGGCGCGGGGACCCTCCCGGTGCCGCCCCATCCCCGTCCCCGTCCCCATCCCCGCCCCGCGGGCGGGTCCCGCCGTGTCCCGGTGCAGGAGCTCAGAGCCACCGCGGAGCTGCCGCACGCAGGTGAGGAGAAACGGCTCCCGAGGGGATCCCGGGGGGATTCGGAACAGATTTCCCTGAAAAAGGGAGGATCAGGGGTGCGCTCGTCCCCGTGGGAGCGGGACACGCGTGAGCGCCCGCGGGCGCTGCGGTTCGGGGCGCGCAGRATCCCGGGTGGGTTTGGGGGGATGGAGGGATGGTGGATGAGCTCGAAGGGTGTTTGCAATTTTCGGGGTGCTCGGGCAGCCCTGCCCGTGCCCCAAAGCCGAGCGGAGGGTGGGAGTGAGGGTGGAACACCCCGGGAGACACCCAGGAGAGGAGCGGCACAAACAGCACCGAAGAGAGAGAACTGGCGGGTTTGTTTTTTTTTTTTTGCCAAATAGAAGTTTTTTCCGTTTGGTGGGAGTGTAGGGGATGTTTGGGGCGCTTTATGGATCCTCTGCCGGAGCGGGTAGAGCTCAGTGGAGTTTGAGTTCTCAACGCTGCTGAAAATCAGAGCCCGAGTATTCCATGAGGAGCGGCTGAGGGAGCTGAAAAGGGGCTCAGCCTGGAGAAAAGGGGGATCAGAGAGAACCTTCTCACTCTGCAAAACTCCCTGACAGGAGGGGGCAGCCGGGGGAGTCGGGCTCTGCTCCCAGGGAACAGGGACAGGACAAGGGAAACGCCCACAGTTTGCACCAGGAAAGGTTTAGTTTGAATATTGGGAAAAAATTTCTCTCTGAAAGTTTGTCCAGCCCTGGCACAGCTGCTCAGGGCAGTGCTGGATCGCCATCCCTGCGGGGATTTAAAAGCCATGTTCATGTGGCTTTTGGGGACATGGGTCAGTGGTGGCCTTGGCAGTGCAGGGGGAATGGTTGGACTCGATGATCTTGGAGATCTTTTCCAGCCTCGGTGATTCTGGGATTCTCTGCAATCGCTGGGGCTGGGGCACAGCCAGAGAAGGTGGGAGCAAACTCCTTCCCATGGCAGCTGGCAAATAACCCCAAGCAGCATTCCCAGAGAGCTCCAGCACTGCAGGGACACACAGAAGGTGACACTGGGCTCCAAGTCTGGCTACAGAGATGGCAGAGGATCGGTGATTTTTGGAGATTTTGGTGACAAACACCAAACTGGCCATGCCAGACTCATCTGGGAAACAGGAGACTCTGGCCAGGCTGTCCCACTGTCCCCAAACTGCTCCCTGAGGTGTTCAGGGGAACAGGGGGATCATGTAGGACATCCTGCTGGACCAGCACAAGCCATTGGCAACCATGGAGCAAACCTGGCCTTGCAGGAGCCGTGTGTGCACCCTGAGTCCCAAACCCCAAGGGTTTAAAAAGAGCCCAGAAGGCAAATAAAAGCTTTGGGAGATGTGGGCTGTTCAAACACTCTTATGCTGCTGGAAAGACTGCCTTAAAAACCACGTGAGCTCAGGGGAATGAGTGTTTTATGGGGAGAGGAGTTATTTGTTGGTTGTGAAACTTGGGGGTTTGTTATTCCTGAGGCAGGGCAGCCACACCTCCTGTGAGCTTTGTGCATTCGAATTTTACTTTCAAAGAGAATTTGTCTTCTCTTCTTTTCAAGTTGGAATTTTCCTTTTCTTTCCCCATTTCTGCGTCTCTTTTTTTTTTTCCCCTCCCTTTTCTCTGGTGAATGCTCCCTTTGATGGGAGGAACCCAGCTCTGGCTATTCCTGGGCACAGGCAGGTGTGTGTTCGACCAGGCTGTGGATTCCTAAAACTCGTAAAGCAGCTTTTATCCAGTGGCCCGGAGCCACTGTGTCCCTCCCACGTGCCCTGTGGCTGGAATGGGACAGCTGTGGAGGCATGGCAGGAAAAAAGGGACCCATATCCATGGCTGCCACTCTCCTGTCCCCATTCCAGACCTGCACGGGTGGCTGCCTGTCGCCAGTGGGCTGTGCTGGGTTTGTGGCTCCCACTCAGCTCCTGGGTGATGCTGTGCCTGCACCCCCAGGGATTCTTTTAGGTTTTTTTTTTTTTTAATGGAAATCCTTTCCGGGATGGTGCCACAGGGCTGAGGAAGTGAATAACGGCTGGGAGTGTTGTAAACTCAGTGGTGGATTTCATCCAGGGGGTGTCTGGGCTGGATTCACCCCGGAGCATCCAGGCTGCTCACAGCAGTGACCCCGTTTATCCCACAGGTTTGGAGCAGGATTTGTTCTGTGGCACCTGAGCTGTCGGCTCTGCTGGGCAGGTACGTGATGGGAACTCAGCAATTTCCATCGATTGCCACCCTAAACTGAAACTCCCCTCAAAAAATCTCTGGGGTTTGGATGGTGCAGGTTAAAAATTACTGAAATTTCATTTGTCTTTTTGTTTTAGGGAAAATGTCAGACGCTTTCTCCGTAAGTATGGGTGTCTTTAAAAACCTCTGGGGGCTGTGGCTTTGCAGCAGAGATCTTTGGCAGGGGTGGGAGGGAACACATCCTTGCTAAACCCCCAAATCCCCTCCAGTTCTGTCAGCACTCAGTGGTTCTCTGGAAAAACCTGGGGAGCAGCTGAGGGTTGAGCTCAGAGGGTGGATGTTGGGGAATTCCATCCCAGCAGGAATTTCCCCCACCTTACCCTTGTCCTCTCTGCCCGCAGTTATCGGACGCCTTGGCCAACAGCAACAACCCCACCCCGTGTGCGCCCCCAGCGCAGGGCTGGCCCTCCTGGGGGAACCAGCCCGGAGCTCCTGGGGCATTCCCGGGGTATCCCGGGGCACCAGGAGCCTATCCTGGGGCACCAGGAGCCTACCCTGGGGCACCAGGAGCCTACCCTGGAGCACCAGGAGCATACCCTGGAGCAGCAGGAGCGTACCCTGCAGTACCCGGAGCGTATCCCGGAGCACCAGGAGCATACCCCGGAGCACCAGGAGCGTATCCAGGAGCACCCGGAGCATTCCCTGGAGCACCAGCAGCAACGGGGCCAAATCCTGCTCCGGGACAACCACCCAGTGGCCCTGGATCTGGGCCTTCTGCCCCGCAGGGAGGGCCAACTCCTCCGCAGGGAGGGCCAACTCCTCCGCAGGGAGGGCCAGCTCCTCCGCAGGGAGGGCCAGCTCCGACTCAGGGAGGACCAACTCCTCCAATGGTAATGGCTCCATCATTATCAGGGTTTCTGTTTCTTCACTGCCTGGTTTTGCGTGGCTACGGGAGGGGCCTGGCTGTCCCCATGACATGGTTTTTCCGTTGACACCAACTCCCTGTTGTTTCTCAGAAAGTCCCCTTCGAGCTGCCCCTGCAGGCAGGACTCGTCCCTCGGCTGCTCATCACCATCACTGGGACCGTGAACCCCAACCCCAACAGGTACTGGGGGTGTCCAGCTCTGAGGGTGGGGGGTTTCCATGCTGGTTGGAGCAGGGGGGCTGGAATTTCTGTTCCTGAATAGCCCTGCCTGGTGTAACATCAAATATTACACCAAATAAATGTGTAAATGCCCTGTTGCTGCCCAAAGGGTTCTGTGGGGTTTCCTTCCGTTTTGGGAAGCCTTGTAACAAAATCCAGGGCTTTTGTGGCAAAAGCAGCAAATCTGTTATTATTTTTGCAGGTTTTCACTGGATTTCAAGAGAGGGAATGACGTTGCCTTCCACTTCAACCCCCGCTTCAACGAAGACAACAAGAAAGTCATTGTCTGCAATTCCATGTTCCAGAACAACTGGGGAAAGGAGGAGAGGACAGCTCCCAGGTTTCCATTTGAAGCTGGAAAACCCTTCAAGGTACCAGAAAAACCCATCCCAGCTCGGTTTCAGGGCATGAGGAGAGTCTGGGCACCAGGAGGGTTTGGGCAACAAGACCTTGTGAAGATGTTGATGCTTTAGCACAGGAATCAGCTCCACGGTGTTTCTGGGGCAGTCACCCTGTGTGCTTCCCTGGCTGTCCCTACAGCAGCACCTTCCCAGCTTTTCTGATCCCCCTCCTGCAGCTCCAGCTGCCCAGGGCATAACTTCTCCCCCTTCTGCTCTCCTCATGGGTTATGAAACCCTCCTTATTTACACTTGCTCTGCAGCAGTGGTTGGACTGGTTTCTCTAACGTGTTTTCCCTGCTGGCAGCTCTTCACGTGGGTTTTTTTCCCTGCAAAGGAGGTTGACACTGTGGAGTCCTGCTTGGAGTGACTGGCATGGGCACGAGGAGGGAGAAACTGGGCTAGAACACGGAGGAGGGAGAGTTTTGGGAAGGCAAAGGTCACTGGTGTTGCAGCAGAGTTGCTGCTCCAGCTCCTCCACATGCCCCAGGGCTGGACTCTGCTGGCAGCAGCCTCCAGCTCGAGCTTGTGGCTTCAAACTTCTTCTAGAACAAATTCAGTGGGGTTTTTGGGCTGATTTGGGGTTTTTATTTCAGCTCCAGATCCTTTGTGAGACGGATCACTTCAAGGTGGCTGTGAATGATGCTCACTTGCTGCAGTACAATTTTCGTGAGAAGAGGCTGAACGAGGTCACCAAGCTCTGCATCGGGGGGGACATCACCCTCACCAGTGTCCTGCCCACCATGATATAACTGGGGGGAACTCTGGCCAAACTTTGTGCTCTTTTGTTTGCACCATAAAAAGTGCCTTCTCTCAACACCACTGCGAGGTGTAATAAAACATTTTTACTCGTAAAATTTGGTTTTAATAGTAACTCAAAAGAGACAGTTCCCTCTGGGCAAGCTGAGTTCTGATGTGGAAGGAGCTGAATTGTTCCTGTAGAGACAGAAACACGGAACAGTTTGGGAAAGGAGCCTGCAGCATTCAGCCCCTGACCCTGTGAGCAAGGGCAGCAATCCTCTAGAAAGCACAGGGAAAACCTGACAGCTTCCAAACCAGGACAAGGTATTGCAGGAGAGGTTCAGAGCTGGAAAAAGCAAAATCTCTGCTCGGTGGGGCTGGAAAATCATCCCTGTCCTTCATTTCTGCCCAATGTGTCCCAAGTACCCCTCCCTCCCCAGGGAGATCCCATCCCTACGAGCATTAGGTACTCCCCATGAACAGATCACAAGCCTTGTGCTTCTCCCCACTCATCACCCCTGTGTGAGTCAACATCACTTTCAAGGGTGGGGACATTTATTGGCAAGTTCACCCCGTGAGTCAGGCTGGTAAAAAAAGAAAACAGAAGTATTTTTCTTTCACTGTGAGTCACTGCAGTCTTGTCTGGAAAACAAGAACAGTGCAACAGCCACCACTGAAGTTCCCAAAGATTCTCTGACGTGTCTCAGGCTGTTTTATAACAGTGACTCCTTTAATACTTCCAGTGCCAAGTTACAAGCAGAGTTCTTAAAATTTCCAGCAGATGCAGCAATTTAGAGCAGCACACTGCTCCCAGCAGCACGGAGAAGCTGTGGCTGCCCCTGGAAGGGTCCAAGGCCAGGCTGGACAGGGCTTGGAGCAACCTTGGACAGTGGAAGGTGTCCCTGCCATGGCAGGGGTGGAAATGGGATGGGCTTTGAGCTTTGTCCCAAACCATTCTGTGCTGATGAGTGACCACAGTGGGAAAGTCATTAAGAGGTATCTGAAAGGATCCCTGAACTGGAGTTTAGTAATGAAGAAAGTGGATTCCAGCACACATCAGCTTCCTCTCTTTATTTCAGTGTAATCAGTACACAGCTTCCAGGTTAAAACTGAAGGCAGATGAGCCCCACTGGGAGTGGCAGCAACAATTTCTACAGAGGGATTAAATTCTCTGCTTGGTTTAGGATCAAGGCTGGTGGAAGGATGTGTGTGATACACTAAGGTCACTAGTACAGGAAGAAGCCCAGTGAGGTATCTGTTAAAAATACAACTGGTGGTACTACAATACTACTCCTCTATAGAACTGGCATGCTCCTTATGCACAAATATGTTACAGTCTGGAGGGGGATGCACAAAGAACAAGATGAGAGAAGAGGCTGAGCTTAAACGTGTCAAAAACAAGGAGGAAATATGGCTTGACTTAAAGCTCCTTAAGATACTCAATAGAAAACTGCATCCTTAAGGGAAATAGTAAATGCCTATTTTAATACATTGCCAAGAAAACTGTTATCTGACTTAGAAATCCTTGTTCTGAGTTAGTTTCTAATATTACAAAGCCAATGGTTGTTAAACACCAGGAAGATTTCCCCAGGAAAGAACTGCATGCATGCAACACTGCCATAGCTGGTGCTAACACACCCAACACTGCAGCCCAAGGGTGCAGAGGCACCCCCAGAGCAGGGACAGAGCACAGCAGTGTTCTAGACAGAAAACAGGCTGGGTCTCACCCCAGGAGATGCCCTCCCAGCACAAACAGGGCACAGGCACAACTCCTGGGGTAGGCACTTGTAGTAAAGATAAGTCATGAGGTCAGTCAGGTCAGGGAAGGAAAGTTTAAAAGTGAACAGTTTTACAACTGGAAGGAGACAGGAAAGACATGAAATGACACCAACATAAAAATATTGCAGTCAGAATTTACAGTCAGAGGATACAGCAGGGATCACCAGAACACAGCCTACTACAGATATACAGCAAAGCTTGGTGCACCACAACTGCACCATAAAATGATACAAAACCCATTATCAGAGCCACTACCACACGTAGTCTTCCTCTCTCAACACAGTTCCAGGGTAGCAGACTGTGTTCCAGATACCCTCTGTGGGCTTCTTGTTCATACAATTTACATATTTTGCATTTTAAGTCACTTTTCATTTGTCCCCAGAGGGACCAACTGGAGAAAACATGATGAGGTCACTGAATACTTCAGCTGCTGCAAACTTCTGGGCTTTGGTCTTGAGTGGAGTGAAGGGAAGCTCAGCATCCAGCATTGGCTGTGGGAGGAGGCAGAGTTGGGGTCAGTGTTTGGAACACACCATGCAGCACTGGAAGGACTCTGATTTTCCCAAGAGTAACTTATTTCCAGGCACAAAATACGAAGTGATTACATGTGGTCCGTGTTGAAGACAGACACTCCTTTCTCAAGTCAGTAATCTGTATTTTAAAGAGGATTTTTCACAAGAAATCCTACACACAAATTCTATTAACAGCATGAAAGCTTTAGCACACCTCCTTTTTTTCCTGCTAAATGTTACTTCCAACCCTAAACATTGACGTGATTAAAAAAATAGTTGGGCTAGACTTAAAAAATTCCAGGAAGAAAGTGGAGGGAAACCAGGCTATGTTAGTGAGTATCTCCAAGGAAATTTGTAAGAAACACAATTTCAAGGCTCAATCTGACAAGAATCAGACATTGTCCTGTTACACATGATTGATTCATCCTACACTCATTATGTGCAATAAGGAATATCAGTGTGAGCCCAAGCAGGGAGACAGCTGGAATGTGGTTTGTATTTAAAGCTACATGAATTGGCTCGATAACATCTTTAAGAGTTTAATTTTCTTTGTGCAGCAACCGAGTCTGCAGCAAAGGTTAACAGTCCTGCAACATGCAGCTTGTCTTAGTCAAATAAACTTGAAGGTCAACTTACCATATCAAAAGGATTTCTGTCAATGGGTGTCAAATCAC